GCTTGTGGTCGTCAGCACAGGGGGGGGCTTTGGGTTTGTAGTTGGTGATCTCCCGTAGGCCCCTCCAGACAGAAGCAGTATCGTTGTTACCAAACTGCTCCTGTAGTCGTTCTCTGTGCCGGGACTTGGCTGCTTTCAGTTCTTTCCTGAACTGATATTTAGCTGCTTTGTAGCCGCTGCGGTCCCCCTCCCTGAAAGCAGACTCCTTTGCTTTCCTGAGCTGCCGGAGTTTAGCAGTGAACCAGGGTTTGTCGTTGTTATAGATGACCCTGGTCCTTGTTGGAATGATGCTATCCTCACAGAAGTGAATGTATGACGTCACAGTGTCCATGTATTCATCCAAACTATCTGTGGCAGCTCTGAAAAGGTCCCAGTCTGTAGATTCCATGCATGCGCGCAGCTCTTCCACAGCTTCATCAGACCACACTTTGGAGCCCTCACTGCAGGTTTCGAGAGCTTTAGTCTCTGTCTGTAAGCAGGAACCAGATGTATCATGGAGTGATCTGAGAAGCCGAGGGCTGACTTGGGAACAGCGCGAAAAGCTCCGCGCACGGTGGTGTAACAGTGATCCAGAGTGTTCTCCTCTCTGGTCGGGCATTTGATAAACTGTCTGTATTTGGGTAATTCCTGGCTCAAGTTTCCCTTGTTAAAATCCCCCAGGATAATAATCAGAGAGTCCGGGTATAAACGCTCCATACACAGTACTTGCTCTGCGAGTGCGCGCTGAGCCTCGCGCGCGTCCGCGCATGGCGGTATGTAAACAGAGGCAAGAATGAATGAAACAATTTCACGCGGGGAGTAAAATGGGGTCCATGGGAACGGTGGGTCGGATGTTCAGCCAGATGCACAGTTAAAAAGTAAAAACAAAAGAAAAAGAGAGCAGCAAAGAGCCATGTCGACCGTACGAGGCGCCATGAAATCTATCTTTGTCAGAAGAGGTAGAGTTACACGTTTGGGCCAGAAGTGTTTTCTATTAGCGTGGATTGATCTAAAAAGTACTTCAGGTCTGTGTTTGATGAGGTAACAATGTTGTAACATGATTTAAAAGCTCAAAAAATGTGTGTTGCATATCTGTCTCCTCTAGGGGCTATTCAGCAAGTCTATATTTGGCAACATCTTCCGTTTTATATAGAAAGCACAAGTGATTATAGTTTCCAATAGCTTATTCTCTTTCCAAAGATCTTCATAAGGCCAAGCTGTCCGTAAGAATTACAGCAGGGCTCAGACTTGGACTTTTATTTGAATTGGTGCGTCTCTCCAAAGCCTCTTCATTCATCTTCCTGAAGAGCGTGTCAACACCATTTGGAAGAGTCCATTTAAAGGGCATCAGTCTCTGCCTTTGTAGAGCGCTCCCAGTCACAGCTTTTTCCCACTTTGGAAAAGCAGACTCCAGATAGGAAAACGCACTGGGCCAGGGGAAGGTAAATAGTTTCCAGGTGTCCTGCGGTGTTGCAGATCTGATATGGTCTCCTGTGGAAAGACTGGAGGAGTGTGTGGTTACCGTGGGAGACCCTGTTCACCTTGTCGGCAGTCACTAGTTATTACAGAGCTCGACACAAAACTGCTGCTGCAGGTGTGATCCAGACACATCACTTCATGTATCACTGATATGGCAGCTCAGTATAATCTCATCTGTTCAAATTGGCATATTTTCCTTGCGTACAAAATGTTTTATGTGTTGCTGACTTTCACTTTTATTTGACTAATTACCTTTGATCTGGAAAATCTTTACAGCATGTTTCATAAGCAGGTACTTCACGTAGTTGCCAATTTCTCCAGAATTTATGAACCGTTTCTTGGGTGTTCTGTTTGTTGCATTGTTTTTTCGAATCCAAACCACAGCTAACCTTAGTCAGCCATTTTGCATCTTTATTTGAATAGATAATCAGTCCCATGAGTGCATTAAAAAACAGAATTCTCTAAGTTCTGATAAAGGTCCCCATTATAAAGCACTGCTATTGGGCCAATCTTAACTCTGGATGGCAGTGCTATGAAAAAAAATTGCATGCAAGCTTCCAAATTGTTGAATTAATAGCACATGCATTCACGGGATGACATCACACAGCCGCAGGAGGAGGTGCTGTGTGAAAAGAGGTGCAGAAAGGTGTGTGTCCAGCCATTTTTTTTAATTTTTTAACAATATCAGCGTGAAGTCAACACCCAGAAATAAAACAAAAAACGGCAAAGGGTCTTGTCTTGGAAGTCCAACTGTGGATCTATGCTTCATGCAATCTTCTTCCAAATTATAATCTCAGCTACAAACCAAACTGGTTCAAGACATCTGTGAGGTACTACTCCGGGACTGAGGACCTGATCATGAGACTGACCATATCCTTCCTCACCAGCCTATCTTTACCCAGTGTGCACCTGTCTGCATCCAAAACAAAAGTCACCACTGAACACACCTGATTCGTGGAGAACAAATAGATCTATAATGGGGTGGAGTTTGCATGTTCTCCATTGTGTCTGCGTAGGTTTCCTCCAAGCGCTCCGGTGTCCCCTACCACTAAAAACATGAACAAAAGGGTTTGAAGCGCCAGTGTATTTGGCGTCTGGCTTCCGTCATCACCGTCTGTGGAGTGAATGGAACAATTTCTGGGTGACCTTGGTCTGTCAAATGCATCTATATCAATAAAGATGACTTATTACCTACTGTGACTGCAATGCTCCAATGACTAGAATCCACGAATGCACTACATAAGTGAAGATAAGATAAGATAAACTTTATTGATTAATTTACCAATTTACATGTCACATTTTGTATGAATCACTCAGGTTGTGCAAAAAGACAGGAAGTGTGCAAACATGTTAAAAGGTAAAGAATATAGTTTCTTTTGTGCAAGATGTATTTTACTGTGTACCATAACAATGCACGTTTTTTTTCAGTCCTATATTAGGAGTGGACTGACTACGTGCTGACATCACCATAGTGTCAATTGGACATAAGCTAGCTGGGGCTAATTTCTTGTTATGGGTTTTTGTTCCAATGGCGTTTGCACTGTATCAAGGGGAAATGTATTGCTAGGATGATTGCTAAGGTGGACAGGAGTTCACTTTTCAGTTGAAGTCAATTAGAAAACTTTGTCCATGAGCATTTAATTGAGTTCGGGAGTTAGCATTGTCCATATAAAGATATACCAACGTACAAACGATAATACAAAAATCACCTTAATTTTACCACCAAGTAAGTCACTGTACTGGTTTTGTTGTTGTTATTCAAAACGAATCATAACCATGGGTCTGCATCATAGACTGTATATATTAATGGACAGAGTCACGCCTATCTCCGCCGTTCTAACTAATGGGCCAAAAAATGTGCTCTACTGGAGCAATCCAAAATGGCCGCGAGTGGTCCCGCCCACAAGAAAATTGTGAAAAAACGCATCTGCGCATGTGTCAGCCGGCGCAACTCCATTCATTTGAACGAGAGACTTAAAAAATTCACAGCAAGTAAACTAGAGTGGCCAAAAAAATCCACCCCCCTCAGCATTGACACACTTGTGGAACGGAGCTTTGGGCCAAGAGCCAACTTTTGGTCCATCCTCTAAAGACGTTATTGAGAGGTCTGCCAATGCTATATGTTAGCATTGGCTAATTCTACTTCTGGGTCCACCCCCATCGGCCCGGGGTGGTATTGCAAGCATGTCAGCGCACGTCATTTTGGCCACTTTTGAGCTGGGACCCTCCCCCACTGGTCTACATACAAACCTGGAATGGAAAAGTTAATTTGTGTGTTATACCTTACTGTTGAAACGCAAAGCAGACGTTCAAGATAATTCTGTTAACAGGAGAAAGAGTGGAGCCCTGGAGTATTTACAACGAAAATCTTATTATGCAACCTTCCTTATTTTACTACAGTATGTCCATCTGTCCTCGGCATAGACTTGAGCCCAGTATCTGCAATATTTATTCCAGCTAAGCTCCATGTGTGATCTTTTTTCAAACAGATGAGGCTTTTTTCAAGTGGGACGGCTGAGGCTGCAAAGTGCCAAACTGTCATTGCGTTCACCCACATTGCTTAGAATTCTGGTGTGTGTGTGAAGGCTTGGTGGTCGGAGGGGCCGATGGCATAGATTGTTTGCCTCGCTTCTGTCACTGATGGAAACATTTTGGTTCCATCACTAATCCTCACGCACATGGTCATCTTTCTGCCCAACCATCAAATAGCACGACTCTTTCTTACAAGTGTACAAAGGATTAAATGTTTTCTAATGAGATAAAAGCAGCATAATGTGGTTTGGATTATAAAAGTTAGGCTCCCCAGCTTTAATTTGTATCAGAAGACGAAGCCAATTTGAAAACGTATTTCTATACCTCTTTACCTGGTTTCACTAAATATAATCCAAACCGAGTAAACCCCGATGACCCACTACATCCATCTTTTCCACAGCTGCGAGCAATGAGCATCCCACCCACCGCTACTTCAGTGCGAACCTCTCTGAATGCGTGCGTAAAAAGGCGTCACAAGGAGAGAGGCAGGCAAGCAGACGCACGTTCTTGCTCCAAAACGGTGGATAACCTTCCGCTGGATAATGGATTAAACCGTCACACAGACAGCAAAAGGCGCGCCACGGCACCCAGATGTCAATGTATTGGAAGAAAACATCCACCCACGAAGTATAATGACTCACCGTCTTAGCGTAGTTGATTAAACGTGCGCTGGAGCGGACTGGCAAATTGAGCGAGCGTGGTTCGTGTGTGTGTGTGTATTTAAGTGTGTATGTGTGTGTGTATTTTGCCCGGATCAATTCTAGTACTTAAGGCCCGCACGTGAAGTGACTTTTTATGGAGTTGTGTCGCCGGATCGGGCAGAGAAGCTTTACGCACAAGAGACCGCTGCCTAATATGGGGAGCACCCGGCGGGAATCCCTCAGACGTTTGTGCGCATCCTTATGAAGTGCAGCAACTCGGAGCTCAGAGTGACCTAGAGACGAGGAAGTTTGTCACAATTGGGAAAGTTTACGCACAAGTGAATTTTTTTCACGTTTTCGCCTGAGAAGATGGTGCGCCAAGAGGTCGCCAGCAGATTTCAGATGCTGCTCATGGCGTGGTCGATATTTCTGGCAAGTTTTGGGTCTGGGTTCCCCACCAGGCATAAACATGTGGCCCACAAGGTAAGGTTCATAAGAAGTATAACATATCGCCTTTATCTATATCCTGTTTTGTATATCAATCACGTTTGTATTTCTCCAATTAACAAGGCATGCTTTTTAGGATATTCACATAATAAGGGTACAATTATCCACAAAGAGAAGTCAGTGATAAAGATTGTTTGAAGATAATTGAAATAATAGATTACTTTAAACTTGTATGCAAACGTGGTTTATTCAATGGCACAAGATTGCGCCAAAATATACGTAACGCCACTATGTATGTTTTTGCTTATTTGATATATGGACGAATTTAAATGAATGAACACCAGTTACACATGTAAATATGTTGGGTTATAGCTCAGCACACACCGCAAGCTTTCATCTGTGGTCCCTATCAGGCAAATACATAAATTACAACTTGTTATTTTGTATACCGAGGTATGTTTATCTCTTCCCACAAAACAAGACTGAGTTAATGGTTAATTACGATTAAGACAGCTGAACGTGCAATTTCGTGGCCTTCATTTTACGTATCTTATAAACCATCTTTTGAAACATCTTCAGCTTCTCTTTGTCTCTGTCCATGTATAGTCAGCTTGGCCATCACTCACAGTCCCTGATGCGCGCTCGTGTATGGCGTCTGTTTGTGTTTCGCCTGGACATATTTGGATATCAAAGAATGTTTATGTATCTGTTTTGCTCCGTTTAAGCTTCCCCGTCTTGTGTGGCCCTCCGATGGGAGTCCTATTGGGTGCGCTGCTCTCTCATCTTCCCTCTGATTCATGTCAAAGCAGAAATTAGCAGAGAGCGAAAAGGGCAGTGATTATTCAGATTCAGATTATTTTTTATTCAGACATTCAAACATTCAACAGATGCCAAACAGATGATAAATAAACATAAAGTCTGAAAACATAAACAGTAAAGCTGCCAATGTCTTATGCAAGTAGTTATACAATTTTTGTTTTTAGATCGTCACAAAGAAGAAAGAAAAACAATCTATCATCTTAAGTTTGCATCCTTAGCGTCCATTCTCAATGTATTTTTTTATAATTGATTTCTTCAAAAGAATTTTAAATTGAATTAAGGTTTTACAGTCTTTTAGCTCTTGGTCCAACTCACTCCACACATTAATCCCAACAAAAGAAAGACAATGCTGCTTTGCACTCGTTCTCACATATGTTTTTTGAAACATTTCTTCCTTTCGGAAATTGTAAACGCAGTCTCGTTTTTGGAACAATCCCTGGATATGCACAGGTAACTTGTTGTAGCTTATGTTATACATAAATTGTGCTGTTTTAAACTCAACCAAATCCTTCAATTTTAGTGCTTTTAGTTTGATGAAAAGCTCATTTGTATGTGCCCTGTAAGCCATTTTATTCACAATGCGGATCGCTCTTTTTTGGATGATACTTATTGGATTAAGATTGGTTTTGTAAGTGTTTCCCCAAACTTCTAGGCCATAGGTCATGTACGGGAGAACCAGGGAACAGTATAACATATATAAGTTGTTTTCATTTAAGAGTTCTTTAACTTTAGATATTATTGCAAGAGATTTACATAGCTTTGCCTTGATGTAGTTTATATGGGGCTTCCAGCTAAGCTTATTTTGTAAAAGTACTCCAAGAAATTTTATTTCATTCACTCGTTCTATCTCAGTATCATTTATTCTTAAATTTCTACACACATTAATGGCACGGTTTCCAAAAACTATAAATTTGGTTTTATTTAAATTAAGGGTTAACTTATTAGAATCAAACCACTTCTTTAACAATAATAATTCTTTCTCTACTATATCTATCAATGCTTCTAAATTCTTACCACAACTAAGCATGTTGGTGTCATCAGCGAATAAAATAAGGTTTAATGTTTTTGAAACTAAACACAGATCGTTAATATACATAAGAAACAAAAACGGACCCAACACTGACCCCTGTGGCAGCCCGCAGGAAACTGTCAGCAGCTGGGAATCAGTGCCATTGGTGTGGACATACTGGGATCTGTTCTTCAAATAAGTCTGGAGCCAAGAAAAAGCCACTCCTCTAATCCCATATCTGTACAGTTTTTGAAGTAGCAATTCATGATTCACTGTATCAAAAGCTTTGGTTAGGTCTAGGAAAACACCAACAGCATATTGTTTATCGGCTATAGCATTTGATATTTTTTCTACAAGGTCCACTAATGCTAAGGTAGTGGTCCTATCGGGTCTAAAACCATACTGCTGTTCACAAATAATATTTTGCTTATCTACATCTTTTATGGAAGATCTTCTCCAGGATCTTGGAAAACTGTGACATATTATAGTGACCAGTGGCCGCGCTATCTGTGATCTGAAAAGTGGAGGTATAGTTTGTTGGAATGGTATAAAGTCAAAATAATAATAGTAATGAATTGTTTTTATTTGAGTTTTTATAGCGCGCTTTTTGGACACTCAAAGACTCACCACATGACATTATTCAGTCAACCCTAGACTCATTCTGGGCATCTGGGGTTCTCCCATCACAGTATTAACCAAGCCCTGCTCTGCTTAGCTTTACAAGTCTAACAGCCTCACATTCTGTATATCCAATCGTAAGCAAGATGCAATGTAGATTAACAGTATTACAAATACAGTATTTCAGTCTATTCATTTTGACTTACATTGTCATCAGAAACAGCTTTTATAAAATCAAACTTTCAGTATTTTCCATTCTAGTTTTAATTGATTTATAAATATACACAGGATAACTTTTTTGTGTGTCTATAACATGCAAATTTTCAACCAAAAGCATGTGTTCAAGGCAATGCGATAAAAACTAAAATATATTAAAATAGAATATATTTTCACTTCTTATAACCACTTGAGAAGGAAGAGAGTAACAGCAAACATACAAATCTCATCGCTGTTATATTTCAGCATATACCGTTAAAAACTGGACATCCTCATAACTCTAAAGTTTGTCCAACCAAACTTTATTTTCACATCAAAATTTGTAGCTAAAGTGGCTCTATCACTATTGATCAGATACTTCTAGAAGCTTAGAGAGAGAGCGCTGTGAGCCGTGGAGAATTGTGGCGGTGTCCAGTAACTGTGCTTATGTAACCAGCCCAAGAAGGCCAGCAGCTCATGAGCCACGGGTCAAGTCATTTATCCCTCTGTTTACATAGGCACGTTTTGTGTTAATGTGGAATGTCCTGTTTTTGGTTTTTACCCCCCATCTGCTGCCACACACAACAGGAGAGGGACTTCTTGCTGTTGTTGTATGTCTGTACTTCTAATTCTCATCACTGTGATATTCCGAATTCATCTTCTTGGCTTCATAAAAGTCTTCCTTTGAGTCCATGATTTAAAAAAAAAAATTATTGTGGATTGTGAGTCCAAACATGCATTCTTGTGAGCAGGGTCATTACTCCATACGGATCTGACTGTGTGGAATATTACAAGCAAAGAAATGTACATATTGGCGACCATAAAAACCTGCTTTGCGCACCTATGACCATGAAACTCCTCAACACGCACACATAATGCAAAGGACGGCAAATTGTCAATCTCTGGAGTTGCACAGTGCCCGATCTCGAGTCAACATTTCTTAAAGTGTATGTCGTATACGGTATATTCAGACTTGGCGATGACTTAAAAGAGCGATATGTAAAAAATCTGTCCAAAAGTGGTACTGCACTCGCTCTGATTCAGGTTGCCAGGTATGCAGATGAATCCAGCTGGGACCATGATAACCAAATAGACAAGAGTTTTGTCAACAGAAAATCTATAACCAACACCATTTTCATAGATGAATATATAGAGTTCCTTGCTTTATTCCTTGTTTTGTCAGTAATGATTTGAGAATCATAACGAGACCTTTTTTAGTTCTGCGACCACATGGTACTTTAGATTAGCTCGACGCGGGGAGTTCTGGCAACCCGGATCGCAGACCTTTTGATTGGTAAAACAGTGGAGAGCAGGACATTGAAATGAAAACAATAACAAGATTTAGAGCATGGGTCCCCAACCTATAGTTTGGGAGCCACCAGTAGCTCTCCATCCCCTTTAAGGTAGCTCCCCGAAAAATGTGCCATGCTATAAATGTTTACCTTATTTGGAAAAAAATGCAAGAATAAACTGTTGTTTATCTATGTTTCATGGTTGTATGCTACATTTTCATTATGACCACAAGGGAGTAGCTCTCTGCCATTTCTGTCTTGTAAAAGTAGCTCTCCAGTGGAAACAGGTTGGAGACCCCTGATTTAGAGGCTGTAAAACTAATTTTGTAATTCAATTATCTCTGAACTATTGTTTTCAGTTAAAGAAGTATTGGAAAATAACACGTTTTATTATTGCCTTTTGACAGATTAGGGCCATTTAATGATTACTTGACATGAAAATCTTGCATATTGCTACTTCAAAGATGCATTTTATAATGGGTGTCGGATATGTTTTTGTAGACGTTATAGCTTTACCTAATGTAATGTTCCTTCATATGATATAGAACATTAAAAAAAATTACTGGTCAAACATAATACTTTTGCCTCTGTACAGATATGACCTGTAACTTAGCCTATTCACTTGCTTCTACCAATAATGTAATACCATACTGAGGAACATTCCAGGCCACAATCATCCTGGAATTGGAATGGGGTCCCGCTGTACGATCACATCCTATTGACACAGCCCAGCCTACATAGCAACACCCTGACCCTTCACATGTGTAAGAAAGTATAGAACTGGTCAGGCTACCCACACACGGGGAAACTACGATAAGATGGAGTTTGTTTTTAAAATGCATGGCTCAAGCAGAAAAATATTAACTTGCTTTCAGTAGGGCTGGGCGATATGGCAAAAAAGTAAAATCTCGATTTTATTTCCTTCTTTTGGACGATGTCGATTTTAAATCGATTTTCATTAAAGTCATTCAAGACAGACTTTGCCCTTAAAATATTTTTTATCTTCCCGCTCAATATTTAAGTTTCAAAACTATTTACTATTTGTTTCTCCCGATACATATTATAAAAGTCTTGTACAGACTGTGCTGATATCGCAAGTATAA